TAGGACCACCCTGCTGACGTACCGGGTTATCTAAGCATCCATCTCTTAGACTTCAGCCCTAGGCGCAGCATAATTCATCAGCAATAACTGTAGCCAACGGCAGCTGTGGTGGTCTCGTGAGCTTAACAATGTCTGGAGAACATCACTCCCCAAAACAATACGTGAAGCAAGACTAAAGAATGATTTAAATTTGTCTATGTCTGGAAAGCAGCTCACTAACTTTTAAAGGCAAAATAAAGTATATTGCCACATAAAATACTGTGGATGTGAAACAAATTTCCCGTAGAAATATTTCAGTATATTTTTCATGGGGGAGGTCACCTACAGGAGAAGCAGACACTTCTCCACCTCAGATAATTATCTGTTCTATTACAATTGGACTTATGGGTGAAGGTAGACCCTAATCCACTGAGTAATAGATTGATCGCCCGATGAGTGATTGCCTTTATTGAGTGAGAGTATTTGACTCATGTCTTCAATATTTTATGACATGGTTTAACCATTGTGACCAACCTTAAACGGGCTGTGTACTAGATGTTTATATTGGCTGAATACATCCATTGATTTTCCCATTTATGAGCCCAGTGGACTAATATAGATAAAAAACTTAATCTTGAATCAATTTTAGCTTGAGTGAGATATGTGAGATATTAGCGTTATTTCTAAAAATTTATTAGGTAAGATTTCATAGCTCAAATAATTAGACAGAAGTCTTCTCAGAGTTATGCAGAATGCATTGTAACGCATCAATCACCACCAGATAGCGTTACGGCGCGTGACGTACGTTACATAAGTAGATGGAGTGACGAGTAATTATAAACCTGCTTTGCATGAAACGTGAAATAATCGCATAGCGCAACTGAAAATGCCTTCTTAAAGCAGGGTAATTATACTGGAAGGGAAAGTAGTTTGACTGATTATGATACAACATTGAATTTAATAATTTGCTTACAAGGACCTTCACAATGTTCATAAAACAGCAACAACAAGAGGAATAACTTAACAAAAATACGAAGCCAACAATATACATTGAATGTCATGCCAAGATACAATTTTGAGGAATATGCTATACTTAATTCTTTTTTCAATATTAACTGTGGAGGTTTTTCATATTTGATTAGTATTTCATTGAATATAATGTACAATAAATATACGTACCATGTGGTATATAGTCAATAGCTAAACACAGATTTCACGACGTTTCAGTTATGGAATTTGAACTCCTTATTTAGGTGGGAAGGGGAAAACATGACAGGATCAGTAACAAATCGGATTGCATAAATAATATACGAAATACAAGTATTTTTTTCAGTCTTCATATAAAAATTGTAAAATTTAAGAAAAATTGGATAATACAAATTTTTAAATGATTTACGTTGCAAACACATGGCTGAGAAAGTTGTATTGCATATAAGAAAAATTTTGGGTATGCAGTTATAAAAAAAAGAACTTCCAATAATGTTTCTTGAGAGGCTTCGCGATAAATTATATGAGCCAACAAACAGTTGGTCATAAAATCCTCTTCTTCTGAATAAAGTTGAAATAGAGAAAAGTACACCCGATTCTTAACAACCTTCAGGCAAAATTTTATGTTAACTCATGTGTTTTGATAAACTAATGACTATTTTGTAATACTAAGTTTTCAAAAGTCAAGTAGCGACATTCTTCAAAGAGCAAGACAGGGACAAACTCATAGTGTGCAAGGGCATAACAATTTAACATAATCTCCAACAAAGGTTGAGGGAATTTCCGAAAGAGTCCACTTGTAAATGGAGTGCACTAAAACTAATGACTCCATCCGAGCTCCATCACATGACTCGAGGTTTCCATCCATTGCTGCGAGAGGCTTCAAGGACATTCGGTTTACTTTACGAGCATTTTTCTCGAAACATCCTCTCGTTGTGACAATTTCTACAGTTATATTCCAGGAGGTAGAAACATTTAAACAAATACTTTTATCTTTCAATGTGACTCTAAGCTACAGTGGAATCACCAGAGTCCAAAATTATGGAGACATGACCAGTTTTTGATTAATGAATATTTTGAATGACGCAAAACTGTTACTAAAGTCCCCTAAATTGGTACTAATTTGGTATAGAATATAGTATAAACACATAGGAGGCATAAGTTGATCGTTGCTATGAGTTTCAAGATCCGAACAATATATCAGACGAGAAAAAAGTTAACCAGACGACAACAGTGAGAAGTTAATATTTTACTTGAATTCTGTGGACTTAATATCAACGTGAATTACACCGTATTTTATTCAACCGTGAACTGTTAAAGAAAGTGTATAAGTCGATAAAAAGTAACTCATAAATCAGTATTCAAAACATCTTATCGTCTTCCTATTGTCATCCTATTGTACAAAAACACTATAACCAGTATTTTTAAGAGTTGAAATTCTTGAACTAGATATTCCTATGAACTTCCCTATAAACTAGTCCCTAAATTGATATAAAGGATGTTTATCTTAACGATGAAAATCTAAAAACATTTGTTTAGCTGCTGTTTTACAGTAGCCGTACTGTTGTTATTCTTGCATGTGTTCTTTTCTATTCTCTGAAATATTTGCCACAAATAAAATAAAATGCAACACTCCCTGAAAATTCCACGGGGAAATCGATCAATTAATAGAATAAGAAAATCTGCAAAAATTAAGGCTACTACAAAAAAGTTAATATGCTTAATAATATTGAAAGAAAACTTTAAGATTAAAGCTTAGCTAACTAGACTTGATAATGATAAATGACCAGCCACGCCCAATTCAAAGTCTTAACTTGACTTTTACTTTATTGTCAGCAGCCAGACACTATAAATAACTCTTTTCCTCAACCTATACTTCAATTACGTGTTCATTATCAGTGCTTGTCCGTCAGTCACCGTCCTATCGCAGACTTCGGTCTCAGTCTTCAAGCGATATCAGCATCCATAACTCACCGTCAGCAATCAGAAATGTCACTATCTCTCTCCCTCACCTTCTATTGGCCGTCTTTTTGGTTGTTTATAATTTGTAGCACTATCTTTTTAGTTATACAGTGGTTTATTTTTTTAGAAATTAATCGAATGTGAGTTTGTGTGTACATTTATTTTACCTAGTAAGAGTACCAAACCTAAACAGCTACTTAGATCAATTTTACCTTTCCGCACCACGAACTGCCGCCTTAAAACACAAAACAGAAAGCAAGTGACTGCCAGGCGAGCAGTCAAACGTGTGAAAACCAGTTTGCAACACTGTAAGTAAACAGATCAGCTGTTACACTCTTCATTGTTGCCAGATTTTTTGAATATGACGTCAGGAATATATATATATGAAATGATATACAAAAAAATAAGAATTAGTGATGGAATCGTGTAGTCCACGACACAGGAAATGGTGAAAGAATTAGTAAAACCTAGCAGTGCGGAGTGTGGGGGATTGATTTATGTATCTGCAATACTGTGATTTTCCCCGAGCAAAGCTCGGTCCGCAGGTACTTGTTTTATTATTTTAAGAAAAGTAATGTGAGTGTATTATTATGGAAGTAATTGTGGGTTAGGCTGGTAGCACCGGGGTGAAACCACTATATAAAAAATTATTATAGTAATATTTTAGAAGTGCCTGTTGATCGAATGACCAAGAACATTTCGTTAAACTATTGTGCAATCTGAAGTCTTTTTTTGTATTAATTTTGGTTCCTTTATGATGCGTTAACGCACACTAAATGTTTTTGTCTTATTTTGAGTAAATTTTAAGATTTTAATTCGCTGATGTGATACCATAATATTTCTTTTACTATTTGTGTTTCCACATCTAATGTACCCAATAGATTATTGCACATGTACGAGTGTACATTTTATTCTGTGTACTTTTGATTCATATTTTAGTGGGAGTTCTTGACTAACGATCGAGTGATGTTTATGTGTAGTAATAAAAACGAATAAAGAATGAAACCATAGGATTGAAATCATTCTAAAAATATACACGTGTATTTATTCATTTATTTATAATAATAAACATGTATACCTAAATAACTATTTCTAAAATAACTGTTTAGTTGCTGTGAAAAAGAAGCAGTGCTGGGCATAAAGAATAGCAGTGTAAAATTAACACTTGGTTTGACCTTTAAAGTTTTGCCTTATTTATTTATAAAATTAAATCATAAATTTCCTGTAGTTTATTTCTGCCTATCTTAAAAGGAATCGTTATATTGAGTTTGGGGCGTGTTTTACTTAGAGCTGCTGTGATTCAGTCAAAAATCGTTGTTTTTAGAACAAACCAATCTTACTAATACAATTAAAATTTAAAAGTTAGAGTAGTTTCACTTTTATAAAATTCTTCATGTATTTCTACCTCCCCCCCCCAAATATATTGGTGTGGATTACATATTAGTAAGTAGTAGTATAAAAATGAAAGAACAAAATATTGAATACATACATCCCTGTTCCAATCTACTTCAGCAGTACCGTGCGTTGAAGTCTTTTGAAATGAACATTTCTACCCCCCCCCCCCAAATATATTGGTGTGGATTACATTATAGTAAGTAGTAGTATAAAAATGAAAGAACAAAATATTGAATACATACACCCCTGTTCCAATCTTATAAAAAATTTTCCTTCCTGATTTTTTTATTTCTTGTTCAAATTTCTGTACAGTTCTCTGGGTGTGTGTCTTGTGATTTTCCAACCTTAGCTTATTTCTTGTAGAGCTTGTTATGTTCAAGGTATTTGATCCCTTTCAGATTCCAGATCACAAAACGTTGGTAACGTTTTTTGTAACTGATAGTAGTGATAGAACATGTATAATCCATAAAATATCGAATATACTGTACTTTTATTTCTTTCCACTAATTCTTCACCACATAGAGCTGCTGAGCAACTGACACCGGTCAACCTACTGACTCCTGAATCTCTTTGCTCTGCGAGGCTCCTCCCCCGGACCCCCTTCCCAGAGCCCCCGTCCCCCATGGCCCCCCACAATATTCTGGCCGCACGCTCGCGCTACACTATCCTCAGTACTGCCTGTGCGCGCGCACATCATGACGGCCGGCTAACTGTGATGTGTTACACCGTAAATTTGTGATACTGTTTATTTTTTGTAAGTATTACAAAATATAAAAAAAAAACTAACCCAATAAATTTAGCGACTAACAAAAATATTAGTGTCGGTCGTTTGAGTGAAAGGGGGTTGAGTTTAGAATAAAAACAAACTATGATGAAAAATATATAGTATTGGCAATTTATATAATTTATTTTTATTTTTTCAATTAGTAAAAATAGTTTGGTTGCAAAATATAAAAATATGTTGCATATCATCTTCTTTTGAAATCTTTAATGCAAATAAATTACATTATTACTAAATTTAAAATAATTTCAATCAGTACATGTATAAAAAATGCAATTGAAAAATATCAGGATATGTATAGTAGACACATTTAATAAATTTAAATACCGAATATCGTGTATCCATCATGCTCTCAAGCTAAAATTGCAATAAGCAATTTGTTCTTTGCATATACACTATACTTAAAAATAACTAATTATCATCTTATTTTCATGAAAAACTAGTCTTACTATTATTTAATATTAGTCTCAATTAAATGCATTATATTCTTTTTATCATTATTCTAAATTTCTCTCACAGAATTTCTGCTATTGTCATAATATTTATAAAGTTTGCCATTGACAAAACATTTTTGAGAAACATATTTACTCATTGGCATAATGTACTTTAAAGTGTAGTTGAGTGTAAAATTCTTTTTTAACTTGTTTGATACAATCACGATTTAAAGATAGTTTGACGATTATAAGAAACAAGAACCATATCCATAGTTATAGATGACATACTATACGAAGAACAAAGAGCTATTATTCGAAGTTTTAAAGCTAAAATACGAATTTCCATTATTTAATTAGTCTGTTAACAGAATATCACACTTTATTATGAAAAATATATAGACATATTTTTTCGAAACATCCTCCTTATTTGTAAGATCAACAGAATTGTGTTCATATAAACCAATAGTTCTACAAAACATGTCATTTGCCTTAAACGTATATTGTAACGTGTATTGTGACTTAAACGTATTAAACGTACATTGTGGATACAAACCACAAGCGATTGTAACAGCAAAGATAAACGACAAAACTGAAACCAAGCATAACGAAAAAGGACGCCATGAAACTGATTTTTATATAGAGAAAAATGTTTTGATTTTTGTTGGTGATCTGAGAATGGTTTCAGTTGAAAGTAATATTAATTATATGTTTTAAGTGGTTTTTTGGCATAAGCAAATAACAATGACTAATAATATATTGTTCAACACAAACAAGCAATACCATAGAAATTGTACAGCTGTTTTTCAAGTAACGAAGCAAATTATATATAAAAAATCAAAGAAATCCCTTAATGAAGCACTATTTGATTTAGGCTATTTTATCGGAGTGTTTTAGCATATAAGTACGACAAAAACATGTTGGTGCATTCGCTGTAACGTTTAGTGCGGTTATGTGTATTATTTATGTAGCAATGTTATGGGGGAAAATTGAAAAAGTTTTAAAACGCATACAAGACTATGACACCTCAAAACACTGAGTTTTAGTAACAATACCAATCAGGTCTCCTCGAGCATCCCACACTCATTTAGTCTGTGACTACTGAATTTAGGCATATTTTAAATTTATATTTGAAATATAAACATTTTAGACTGGAGACATTAAGATCAAATTTTGCTAAAAGAGACTGATGGAAACGATATACTAGTTATAAATATCTATAGTGCATCTATCTCGGCATGAATATCTGCTCATGCGCCATGCAGACCACAGTAGGCATGAATGTCTGTTCATGCGCCATGCAGACCACAGTAGACACGCGCTATGCTGTTCACACCACGCATGTGCTGTGTCGTGTTTTGTCGTCACTGCATATTCATGCTTCGGTCTGTGGCCGATCGTTCGATCCATCATTTGAATAATTCCCCAATAACCGTTAAACCCTGGCGGAGCAAGGACGACGGGCGGCGACGTTCACTTCAAAAGCTCGGACTAAGGCTACTTACTTCTGGAAGATTTCGTCAAACGTATTCATTGTGCACGGAGCATTGTGCAGATATTGTGTTTGTTGAGGTGGAAAAATATTCTTAAAATATTTTAAATTCAATTTTTGTATCGTTGTTTGACCAATGGCCTATAAATGTGACTCGGGGTAAAACATTATATAGTTTCTTATAATTCATTGTGGTTTGAGTACAATTTCAGTAAATTGTATCTTTGAATATCCTATAGTAATAGTCAGTGGTTGTATCGAACGTAATTAATTGTGAAATTGATTACTTGGGATGTACTATAATAATACTATAATAAACACAGCAACGGCGATACATGGGAAGCAGTTGCTACAAATCAAAATTAATATTGTATAGCGTCCAATGTAAAAAGTGATAATATGATTACGAATTTTTTATGATCATTTACTGGTTGTAAAGTAGCCTTAAAATAAATAAGTCAATTAAGACTGTTTATTTTTTCATGCGGATTTTTATTATTACATTAATGTAACTATTATACTTATTACTAAATTGATTTACGAAACCAATAATCACATAGTCTAAACCCCAAACTTAGATAAACAATATACTTGATTAATGTGATTCAACTTTTAAATCGACATGTAGACTAGTATTTACCCTTTTATGCTATTTACTGTTTTGGGTCTTAACTAAACTGTTCATCATATTCAACAGATATTGCGTAGAGCTGGGAATATGAGATGTAAACAATACAACTGCATCCATGCGCTGAGTAACGTTCCAATTTAAAACGGCCTGACTAAAATGGTTACTCTTGCACTTATAGTGTTAGCTAAACGGGAGTGCCGATGGAGACCTGTGGGGATGCGTGCGTTTGTAGGGACTTGGCCTGGTAGTACACTATACGAAATTTACGCCAATTTCCACGCACGTTTACAGATGCACGTTTGGGGTTTGCTTGTTTTACTTCAACACATGCCGGCCTACTGTACCCAGTGGCTTATGTTACTATCGCATCTTATTAAGTTTTAGCCTATTTAAAACGGTTAAGAAAAATATACCTAATCCGTAAGAACATTAGTTATAGTTAATAAAATATGAAGTGTTCAATGTTTTATATTTTAAAATTATTTTTTTCATGTGGAGGGTAAAAATAAAATAATATCGAAGACGGTATAATTTAATTTAATATATTTTTTAGGACACTAATGATGTATTTGTTTAATGTAAGGAACTTATTGAAAATTTTAAGTGCATGTCTGTGGATACTGTGGTGTATTCACTTTTAGGACGCAATATTTGGCAAACGCCATTGCCCATATAGATGGATTACTGACCATTATATGGGCAACGGCGTTTGCCAAATATTACGCCCTAACAACCACTACCATCCAGGCCGTTAGTCGACTAACACTTTATATTTGCGATATTAGGAAATACCCTATACATATTTCTCACAACTGACTACTTTTTGGTTGATCATACCCAAAGGGAGTTTTGAACACTCAAGTTCCACAGATGAGTTTGTATGCTTTATTTCTACGCTGTATGTGTCCTAGTTCTACGCATTCTGCCCAGTCATGTTTATAATTGCCCGAGTGAGCCATTGCTCCATAACTGTACCAGCCTCATCGTCTGTCTATTATACCAGACGTACGGTTATGTTGTCTATAAACACAGTGAAAGGGTTGTAAAAACCAGCACCTTCGCAATGAATCGATCCCCGCTTCGTATGAGCTATATGTGCCGGATACGGTCCGCCGCTCATTGTAGGGATGAATTACGGGCTCCTGTGGGGGGTTTAGTTGGCACTTAAACCAAGTAGGGGGTTTCAATAATTTTGCAGTTGGTTTCAGTTTTTGTAAATGATACATAAATTAAAAATAATTATTGGCATTTTGAAGGATTATAACGCCCCCCCCCCCATCAATGATTAGGAACTGAATTTTTCTCTTCATTTCCGATAGCGTCTGCTATATTCTCCCAGTTATATATAGTCAACGTAACAAATTATAGACCTGAACACATCATTGTTTAGATTAATACAATTAAAAAGACATGAAACATGAAATAAAATGTAATGTTTAGTTAACTTGATCAATAATTAAGAAACCCCGACAATCTCCGACTGTACCAAATTTCTTCATAAAAGCAATTCAAAAATAAAATGAGTAGATGCTAAACAATTCTCAAAGATTTTAAATATGATTTTTATAATGACAGTTATTTTAATTTGGTAGCCGAAAATAATCATGTAGACTCTAATACTTGCATCCGCTTTATAAATAAAATAATAATACAAATTGTATTTACAGTTGAGTATGTTGTATAGATGTGCACATTTCATAACGGCAGTACCTGGGCAAAACTCCAACTATAACTCATTTAATTAATTAATTTGCTACATATTCCATTGTATTGCAGTTACCATTGGCTATCCATACATCTCCGTATTCACATGGCCTTCCCTTTGATTTACCACTTCAACCACACTAATCATTCAATCACAACGAACAAAAGTACTTGTTTCAAGGTCGTTCGGAAACAGTTAAGTCACACAATGTAATCCTGCATGACTCGAGTGGTTGCATGACTAGGCTACGTTGAACATTGAACAGCAGTTGCCATAACTCGCGAGGTCACGTGACAATGGCGACCGTGACCTTGCCTTGACCTTGGGCATGTCACGCCTTATCAGCCGCGAGTCACCGAAGCCTGGCGCTGCCTAATTTAGGCAAACCAGTCGAGATGCTGGTATGTTTTTTTGTTAGGAGCGAATTTTTGTCTGGAATAAGATTGAATGATTTTTTATCAATAAATATTATACTTCTTCGTGTAAACTACAGAAGTTATTTCTGGAGCTTTTTGCTGTAAAACAGCTTTAAAAATGTAACACTAACATTTTTAAACATTATTTGGCAGAAATGTAATTTAAAAAAATCCCTAGTTTAAATTTACAAAATATTAAGATGGCTTCATTTTATTTTACAGCCTTAGAAGAGACACAAGAGATTCTGTTTCACGTACTTTGTGTGTTCCATAACAATTATAGTACCGTTAGTTTTTC